AACAAATAACCAATGACAGGGTTTTAAAAAAAGGAAAAACTCAATTTATTCCAATTCTACATTTTTAACAGATGATACATTTTAAAATGCACCCTGAATCATAACAAAAATTTAATCTAAACCAATACCTCAATGACATATGTATAAAAGCAAAAATAAGGACCAAAAAGTTTCTTCTGAAACTTGTTAATCAAGAGAAGAAAAACAAACAGTTTGATTTGTTGGGCACATGAGACAAAGAGCAGCTCATAGGTTTGCCTACACAGCACAGTTAAGAAATGTTAGCATCTGAATGAGAGACCAAAAAAAACAACAAAAAACAAACAAACAAACAAAAAAACTATCTACACCAACTGCGTTGCTGTCGTCCAGCATTTGAGTTTTCCACTGGATGGTATCAACACTGGTCATGAGCATTTGAAGACGGGGCAATAACATGAGGAGCAAGAAGGGGGAGTCTTAGGAAACAGTCTTTAAAGAGAAGAGCCTCCGGTCTGCTGTTGGAACACATCAATCGTATCTTCATCCTCCATTTCTAGCTGTTGACAAGAGAGTTGAAATGTCACATGTGAGTGGGGTCATTAGTGGATGAACAAAACAAATAACCCAGCGCTTTTCATCTGCACTGATATTTTTGATCAATGGCCATTATCACTTCGTAGAATAGGTGGTAACTAGGCCTAGGACAATAACCAATAAACCTATTTATTGCAGAATAAATGAAAATGAAGGTGAAAAAAATACTACATGACCAGATGATACCGGTCAGATAGAATGACTGATTACTGTGTTCTCCCCATTGGAAAAAGCTTCTACAGCAATATATGGAAAGTTCCGTGTTCAGTGTTGCACAGAGTTCCGCTTCTGTCGATGTGATGACATCATACATTACTTATTGACTGATAACTTTGACTTTGTTTAGTCGAAATGAAAATCAGAGGTCGTCAATGCCCTGGTGCACCTTTTAATTCATATATTATACAATGCGAACAAGTTACACATTGTCCAAGTCATTTATTAGTATCAAATGAAAAAGAAACCTTCAGAGCAGGTGACTCACCACTGACCTGAAGTGTCTCTTACCTTTGTCACATTTACAATAAAACATTATCTGTACCAAAGTACCACTTTGCTGCTGTTATCCAAGGATCAGTTGTGTAGCAGTTAAACAGGAACACATTGAACATGAACAACATCCAATTTGCAATAAAATCAAGTACGGAAAACATACATTTTTAAAGTGTAATTAAAAAAATGATTGTGTGTGAAGGACCACTTATTTGAGCAAAAACAATGTATTAAGCAGTAACACAACTTAAATAATAATAATAATAATAAGTCATATATTATCCTACAGTTAATGAATAAAGTTGGTTTAACCTTACTGATAAATAACAGGTAAGAAAGTTATCTATTTTAATAATTGTTTTGTGGTAGTTTATAAGTTGGGGGGGTTATGTTGGGAAATAATTCATAACTACTTGTTAAGAGAATAACATTTTGTGCTGGAGAACACTTTTACTTTTTGTTAACTGTCACCAATTCAAGAAAAGATAAATCGACAGAAATCGGTATCATCAAATCACACATAGCAAAAAGAAAACCACAAATCTGAGCCTGCAATTGGTGTAATTTCTAATCAAAGTTCCTACTTCAAAGAGCTTCTGCTTACCTGCGAAGGTGTGTCTGATTCATTGATTGGTTGACCATCAAATCGAAACCTTATTTGCCTCATTGACAGCCCCTGTGTGAAAAGAAGGAATGATATATTTATTTATTTACTTAAATCTCTGGAGGACACAGCTACTAAAAAGTCACAGCATGATCCAAACTTCAGCAGAATATCAAGTTGATGCATGAAGACATTACATTATATAAACCTGTTATAGAATACACAGTAACAGGCATGAGCACATCCCAGTATTGCACAAATTGTCAGGTTTTCTGAAGCAAATGCCAGCAGCTGTCAGGCGATGGCAGAGTACACCATGGACAGTCCACCATTCCTCCACTGTCTTCAAATCGACTTAAACAGAACCACGTCCTCAGAATCAATGACAGCGGTCATCAATAAAAGACAGAGCAAAAGCAGTTCTGCTGGTATTTACGTTGTATGCTTAGTGTTTGCTGTGGAATATACAAGACCCAACTTCATGGTTTTGGATTGAGTTACTGACAGAAATTAATTAAATGAAGTTTGTCAAACTGGACATCAAGTTTGTGTGCTTTTGACTCAGTAAGTCACTGTGTTTTCCCCCCAAAGCCAATACATTACACCTGCTCTGTGTTTTACCCCCAAAGCCAATACATTACACCTGCTGTATGGACTCACCTGTCGTTCACAATATGCTTTCATGAGTTTGCTGAGTGGGGTGTGCCTTTTGATCTTGAACTGAACCACTGAGCCATCCTGCCCTGCCACCTTCAGGTTGATGTGCTCATTGTTCTCCGTCTTCATTCCTTCCTGAAAGACAAGTGTATGTGGTGCTATTTGAAACAAAGGCTCCTGTTTACCCATTCGGCACATTATTAAAATGTCTTTCTATAGAATACTTGAGGATGTCATTTTTTCAGTACAACAGCTTTATGACCCCACCTTTGAAACCACTCCCCTTAACCAACATGGGTAGCACTTCTACAACCCATTTCTAGGCAGCAGTGCCAGTGAGTCTCAGCTTCCTAAATGATGTTTCCACTGAATCTAGTCTCCTCTTCACCACAACTGGACAATTACTTCAACATCCATCTCAAACTATAACACAAAGGCAAGTTCAGAGTACAAATCGTCTTTGGAAAAAATAAAAACATTTCTCCGTACATTCCCCATTTTGCTTAAATTTGAAGTAACTAACAGAATAATTAAGATTCTCTAGCTTATAAAATTATAACATTGATCCTTTTACTTATCTTACTACTTACATATAACAGTGTCACTAAGGAACATTGAAAACTATATTTTTAATGTGTTCTGTATTGTTAGTTTTTTTGTATGGACCTCAGTTATTAGACATTGTTCATAGTGAAAGGGGAATTCTTTAGTGCCTTTTGCTAAACATTTCTTCCAATGCCCTTTTATATAAAGAGTTCATCCTCAAATTCCTATAGAATACAGCTTTAAAAAGACCAAATTAGTTTTGTGTGAAAGTCCAGCCAAGAAGTTGATGTGTAGTTTGTACTTCATTGATTAGTAAAATTATTTTTTGTGCATTGCCTATTTGGTTTGAGTAAATATACAGTATTCTGCACCCTCATAAAAACTATGAAAAACAACATTACAACTTCAGCATTAGCGTTCACATCTAGCATTAGCAATTAGCCAAGTGAAGCCATGGCCTACACGTTTTATTCATACCCAGGGGCCTGGTGTTGGAAGTAGTGCTTGTTTTTTAAACGCTCCCTTTTCCTTCCACAGGCACTCATTGAGAGACCACGGCCATGGGGACGCTATTATCATTCCATCAGAACAAAACTCCTTTCTTTCGATGGCTTTTGAGATGTGAACAATGAACACAACGTCCTTATTTAGGTTAACGACAATTCTGCATTTGTTACAAACGTTACACGTCACATGAAACATTGACATAACCCTGAGCTGAGTATTTATCACTCATACCCGGCAAAGTTAAGCTTTCGTGCGGTTTCTTTTTTTTTTATTATTCGAAATACTTAGGAACAGGTAACAGGACCGTTTCGTTGTTAGCTTATTATGCTAACTACCGCCGCTAGCTGGCTGGCGCGGCAGCCCGGTTTTCTGATGTTGAGACGATTTAATTATGCCTTTGTTGACAAACCGGTCGCACATGGCAGTGTTTGGAGGTAATTACTGCGCCTTAGTTGGGTGCACGTTGCTGGTTTAACCCTCCCTGTATAGAATTAACTCCTCACCTTGGGTTTTTCGTCTGCCATGTCTGCTGCGCTGCCGTGTTCGTCTGCGCCTGTTCACCGTAGCAGATGCGCTGTCTGTCGCGCCACTTTGCGTCAGAGGAAAACACACACGCAAACTAGCGCCACATTCACCTTCAGTAGAAATAACTGTGCAGTGGCCAACTTCCTTCACATGAATGAAGACTTACATCTTTCCAAATAATGAACAAAATCATAGTGAATCACATTTTATTGTATTTATTCACGTTTAATAATGCCAGTACAGGTTACCATGGCAGACAAGATAAATTAAATTAGTATTTGATGAGGCTTTTATGCCTTTGTGTCATCAGGTTGTATTTTTGTCAGTATGTTTTTTAATTATTATTTACTTATTTATTTAATGAGAAAATTATTTTTAAACATTTCCAAATACACATTATTATGCAGAAATAAAACGAAATTTAAAATAAAAAACTACACCACACAAGACCAAGTGTAAACAAATTTCAAAGTTTTTCTCATGTGGAGTTTGTTAACAGACTCTCACAGACTCCACACAGGTTTTAATTAGTTCTCGCTTTGTAATCTTCTCCAATTTATTCACTGACAGCGAATGGATATGGCTCACTTTCATCCTCTGTCTGTTTATAGGATAGTGATAACAAGTATTTACTCCCAGAATAATTTATTAGTTTTAAATAGTTTTGGCACAGACTCAAATATCTTATATAAATGCAAAAACCCCACAGTTCGCTGAATCAACCACACATTAGTTTATACACCGTGACAAAGTATAGCACAAAATATTAAGTATTCTGTGTCTTCAGGACAAAAAAGAAAAAGTACATAAATGCAGGGTAAGAAAAAAAATGTTAATGTTGATGATGAAGTTTTATCATCAACATGTTTTTTTCACACCAAGTTTTATCATCAACATGTTTTTTTCAACAAGATTTTCCTGATAAAATATCTTTCTAATTTGCTAAAGAACCATTATCATACAACATGTTTCCCTTTTCCCTTCCCAGCATATGTACTGGCAACCAGTGCATTTAAAGGCACTTCTCTGTGTCCAAAGGTTAAATATAACATTTACTTAAGAGCCAAGTCAGCTCTTAGATGAGTTAATCTCTCTGTCAAGAGAGAAGGTTGATGTTTTATTTATATAAATTAATTTAATATGATAAACTAGCAAATTAGGATTCCACTCTTATAGCTTAATAAAGGAGGCATTTGACAAATCAGTCTGCATGTTTGACACATTATTACCATGCACATTAGGTGGCAGGAGTACTGTTGTGTATTATTATCTCCTACCAAAATGAATAACACAATTATAAAAAGTAAGAAGTAGTTAAGTCATTTGGCTTTATGGAAATTCAGAAGAAGCCTAGTGGTAAATCTAGGAGCTGCTGGGAAAAAAACTAAAGAAGCCTGTTTGTTATTTGTAAAGTTCCACAAGAGGAAATTCACAATTATTGTTCAACTACAGTAGGGCTTCTGTCTGCCCTGGTCCCATGGTTTTTGTCTATGTTGACATTTTTCATACTACATTCTCAGCAGAAAGTCATTTGAATGGTAGACTGTGTTTCCATGTCCAAACGACTGCAGCCTACTAACCTTGGTTTTCTCTCTGTTCTGCCAGGCTCCTGAAATCATTGGCAGAAAAACTCCTTTCAAAACAACTGAAATTTGTGTATGTGTATGTAATGTTTGTACCTTATACATTTTCCAAATATTCTAAACTACACTTAGAAGCAATGTGACCAAGCTTTTCAGGTGGCATTTATACCAAAAATGAACATGCATCACGAGTCGTCCGTTCACTTATGTGTTGTGTGAGGAATGACTGTTCCTGTTTACTTGTTAACATTCTTCCTGAATGCATCCCTATTGAACACTGCATATAAATATAACAGAAACCAAGCTCGGGCTGCATGGCCAGTGAAAACTATTTTAGGTAATAAAGTTGGATTAATGGTTTTACTGTGGCAGAGGGTACAAATAAGGAACAGAGTGGACATTGGGAAGTGCTGTGAAATGCCAGAAGGTTAGAGTGTTTCAACTGAAGAGGACCAATACTAGACTAATCCTCCATGAAGACAGATTGCATTCTTACTTCAGACTGTGGATAAACTACATTTCCTATGAACTCATGTGGACTTATGATTGAATTGCTCAAGATCAGCTGTGTCAAAGAGCTTTGATGGTCATTGGTTCAGGTTGAGCTGAAGAGCCACTCATCTGTCAGGAGAAGGAAATGCCTTCACCTCACCAACCTCTGTGAAAAGCTGCTCGCCCAGAATAAAGGTTAGTTTGTATCTCATCCGAACCCTTTCCTGCAAAACACAAAGATGGGCTACTTTCAGTTTGAAAGGTGATGGTATTTTTTTATTTTTTCCAAAATATGTCCTCAGCAGCATCTACAATCATAACAACTGCAAAACAGGAAATTAAGATTTAAACAGCATATTAGGGGAAATACTGAAGGTGTTAGTAAGGACACGGTATTTATATAAAATAAAATGACAATTACCTTCAGGGGATTAGCAAGCAAGAGGATTTGGGTGATGGCAGGCGGAGGAAGGACTGGATTGAAAGGAGCCAGCTCTGTCCCCGACGGTTGCTGCAGTTTAACTTTCATTGTCTGGAGATAAAAAAAAAAAAAAACAGACATTAAGTATAAAAACGGGTCTCTTATTCTTTCTGTCTCTCTCTCTCTGTCTCTCCATCCTTCTGTCCGTCCCCATCTCTCTAACTGGGCTTATGCTGTGGCTTCTGTCTGCTTTATAGTGTCTTTTGCATTTTAAATTTTGGGTCAATCAAGCCAAGTCTTGACAAATTGATGGCTCTTCTGAGGGCTTTTTTTTAACACCACAGTTAAATTCTAAGATAACTGCAGCAATTTCATGAAAATCTTCATTAAAGCAAGGTCGCTATGACAACAAATGTTGATTAGCTTTCTATTTTCAGGTTTCTGTTTGTCCACACTGCTACCTTTGGCACCGCTGCCTGCAGAACAATGCTCCTCACAGACTGCGGAGCTGTGTTAAACGTGGAGGCGACTATCACCAAAACGTCAGGTCTGCCCGGTGGACAGTCCCTGCCGAAATGCAGCAGAACATGGACACCGTTTTTGTCATAGACCGTCACTGGACACACTTTACCTGAGAGTCAGAACACAGACCACAAAGATGAAAAAAAAAGATGGAGTAGAAAACACAACACAAGGTGTACAAATCTTAACAGAACAAGGAGTTCAAAATCAGAGTTTCTGAAACGGCAGCTCTGGCCAAGGTGGAAATGCTAAAATTTGATGACTGATTCAAGCACATAAACGTTTTCCCTGAACTTACTTGGCTGTATGGCATCCAAGGAAACATGGACATTGTCCAGGGACACGTCCTGTGCTTTGTTCTGACTTGCCTGGCCCAGAGTGCCGGTGTGAGAGTGTAGCTGGCGACAATCATCTACCTGAGATATTTTTACCGGTGGGGAGTCGATGCTATCTTGCTGCTCTCCAATGAGCATTGAGGACGATGTGGCAGAAAAGACAGCAGGACTGAAAGACATGGTAACAGAATGTGCTCAGCGGTGACAGATAGGCTGCTGACATCCATCTGTGGAATACTATGATCAGGAAAACTTCTGCCTTGTTTAAACAAATAATTGCAAAACCCAGTTCCAGTCATCCGTGTTAAAAACAATCAGAGAGGGAAGAAAATGTAGTGCTTCCAAATCTAACACTACACAGTCAGGTTTCACAATGTAAATCTGAGCAACCTGATGTTTCCCAAAAGCGCAGCACCAAACTTAACCATTATCAGAGACAAAATCAAACAGAAAAACAAAAACAACAACAAGAATCCACTCTTAAGTTGAGATTACTTTCATTTAGAAAGTATTTAAAAAAGACAGCCACAAAATCTATTATCTTCTCCCAGTCAGATCACTTAATTATAACCTTAACAACTATTCATCAACAGCTACATTTTGGTCAAGGTTAAACAGATTAGAGAAATTGTTTTGTTTTCTTTCATTAAAGCAGAAAAAGGGCTGGTGGTGTTTACAACCTCACAGTTCAGAGCGATGCTGAAAACACCAGACAATCACATTCATCAAACTGGTAAAAATCCTGATTCAACATCAAACATATTATTTGTTACCAGATCATGGTCTTAGTGCTCCATCTATATTCCTTCCTTTGGTTCACTCACTCACTTTTTTGGACGGTCCAGATCTAGCAGGACATGGTCCTGCAGACTGTTGTTGTTGACGCTGGTTGATAGAGAATGTGGAGTTCTCATTGAAGATGCACTTTGGAGAAGGTGGTTGGTTGCTGTCGAAGCAGGCATGGCCACACCGCGTGACTGTGGAAGAGGAGTCTGGGCTGGAGTGGTTAACGCTGATCTAAGAGGCTGTGGCAACCTCACTGATGATGCTGTGATTGACTCTGTGTAAACTGGTGGAGTGGCAAAGACAGGTTCAGAGAAGATTGAGGATGGAGCAGCTGTGGGGAGTGGTTGAAAAGCCTCTGGATGCTTTGCATAAGTTAAAGGTGTAGAAACTGAAGGTAGAGAGGACTCAAAAAGATGCAAATCCTGTTTGGGATTCTGGGGAAAAATAAAATATGAATTTTACCAATATGTAACTTAAGAATTAAAAATGCATATCTAACTTTAAATACCTGGAAAGAGGGCAAAAATATGCTTCCTTTGTTTTCCTGTGGTGTACTCACAACTGGATCATTAAGGCCTGCAAAAAAAAAAAAAGACAAATCAAAGTACAGTAGGTGGTATTTGCATGTTCTCAAATCGATGTTATAATTAATCAGAAAAATACCTAAGGAAAGTAGATCTTGATCAAGCAGACTGAGCGCTGCAGAGTTTGAAATGTTCTTTTTAGAGTGAGACTCGACATCAGCAGGAGCAGCAGTAGGGAATCCAAGCAACATGGTGTCTGGAAAAACCATGGGGGCAATCTGGGGTAGTTTCTCTGATGAGAACGGAACATCACGATCCACCAAGTCAATCAAAGATCTGGACTGGTTCCTGCTACCTGTGGCTGTCAAGTGAAGACAAAACACACACACACACACACACATATATATACAGTGTACTTAGTGCACTACTGTAATAGTGACACTAAATGTGTCCTCCAATACTTTAGTCCATGGATCTATCTTATACCATGGTGGGCATCAGGTTGAAATTCAAATACGTACTTCAAGTGCTGGACTTGCTGACTCAGGAACCCCAGTGTTTGTAACTGCTTTTCACCACCAGCAGCTGCACACTGGTTAGGAAGTGTATGCATGTGCATCCTAGTGGAGTTCAATGTCTCATTGTCCTCAGAGGGCAGTTTATTTAAGTAGGTCAACAATGTCACCAGTCACCAGTTTGGAGGAATTTTAGGAGGAATGTTGCTCTGTAACTGCTCCATCCTCTATGATCAAATCTGTGTGACATCTTGAACTCTGTCTCCTGATCTCTTAATTTGAGGGAATACATTCTTCTTTTAACAGGACGTGATAAACTGAGGAACTTGTTAGCAGAGGCGCTGTTGCTAAAAAGAGATTAGAGTAAGACTAGAAAAATTTAAATTGATGAGATGAAATCCAAAACTACAAATTAAACGATGACACATTAGTGAAGAATCAGATGCTAAAAGGCTTTTGGAGAAAATAGAAAAAAGTTTTAAGGTGCCCACAGCTGATCAGACAGTAGTTTTACAGATGCAGAACAGTTCTATAGAAGGACCTGGTGTAGAAGAGCATCAAAGACTGGAGTTGTCTGGCTGTTTGGTGAGGTAATTTATCTTTTTAACCATGTGTCAGACAATTAATTGGTATAATTCCACAAATTAATGTGATGAATGATTACATTTTGAAAGCCAAGAAATATTTCTGAATTGATGCAGAACATGGAACATGCTGAACATCAAGGTTTATATGGATTATACTAAAAAATCCTGGTGTTTACCTGATGTGAAGTGTGTTTCTATGGTCTCTCCCTCCGTCTGTCCTCTCCTTTTCATCTTTTCATACGAACTAATGACATGTGACAGGTCATCACTGGCCTGCAGGATGTCTCCTAAGAGGTGCATTTAAGCTTTGTATCAAATAAAGCAGGGGTTCATTACATTCACCACACTGGGCCTTAATGAGCCATTGAAGGAGAGCACACCATCAGCTAGAGACCAAATGACATTTATCTTACCTAAGATGCTGTCGTTATCCTCCATATTGGCAGCAAGCTGGGACACTTCCTGTCTGAGCTTCTGACAATCCTCATACAACTCCTGGGCAGGAGATAAATCAGGGAAGATTCGTTAATGTCATTCACAACTTTTCTAGGATGTACAGAGCTAAATGTCAATTTGCCAGTTCATCGTTTTGTTCATCTTTGTTACGCTGGTTCATCTGGAAATTTAATACATGTATATAGGGCTATCAAAAGACTACAATTTTCAACGACAAGAGTAGGATTGAAAATAATTAATCATGATAACAGAAACAGAAAAGACAAATGCCAGCAGGTAGATGTCACTGTTTCACTCCTGTTTTATTTGTGACTGATCCAAATGATGAACTTATTGATATAGAAAATGTTTTTTTTTTTGTATTTTAGGCATAACAACACAACTGTGGCTGTGGCTTGTACAATGTCAAGAGTTGATTTCATGACTTTGGTGTCACGTTGTTCTCAACTGTATAAATCAGTCCGTAGTCTCCCTCCAAATCCATTTCACAGTTGTGTCAGTCAATGTGTCAGCCATAGACTTATTTACTGTCCTGCTCTCGGTGATGCTGGTCTGACACAAGCTGTGACGAGAAGGTGAAGTCACCACAAATGCATGCTGGGTGTTGTAATGGTACGTCAAGCTCTAAGTGCTTCAGAAAATCGAAAAACAATTTCTTGCAGCGTGTTCAAATAACATGTATATTGACGGACCAATAGGTGGATGGACGGGTGAACTATTGGAGTTAAAATGTATTCAGATAATTTCACAGGTTAATTATGTGATTAAGGTGTTAATTGAAATACTAATAAATACATTAAAATACCATGGAACAATAAGGTATTTTTTATTTTTTTTATTTTTTAAAGTTGTTTTCTTTTCAGTGTCATTTGCACAATAACTATCGGCCTGATATCAGGAAATTATGATGTTATTCAGATACGTTCAACATCATAATGAATAGCCTGATTACACATAATATAAATTTTCATCAACCCCACAGTGAGGGTCGTTGTTTTAATCAGGCACACCCACACATACACAAAA